CATTCAAGCCACCAACAATTTGGAGAGAGTTTTTATAAGCCCACTCCCCAAAAGCCAATTTCAGAGGCCTTCCTTTCTGCTGATTTTGCTGGGACGTCCCACGGTGCCAGCGAGCTGGTCTCCGGATTCCATCCTTTGGCTGCCAGAAGGTTCTCCCTTTGGTGGTGAGGTCAAGCCGTCTCTGCCAGGGATGCTTCAGTTTGCCTGGAAGCAGGGGTGGTTGGACTTGATGGCCTCGTGGAACCCTTCCAAGCCGAAGACTCCATTCTAGCTGTGTCACGGGTGTGCCGAGGGATTCAGCTCTGTATAAAAGGTGCTTGAACGTCCAGCCTACCTGTCCTGGAGATTTTTATCCATTTTTATCTCACCTGTATTTGAAAACATCCAGGTGGCTCACCATGGCTGTAGCTGGACCAGAAAAAAGGGGTTTGGAAGAGCTGGCTAGAATCTCTCCTGGCCAGATACCTCAATGCCCTTCTTTGGATGACATGATGCTAACCCTCAAGGTGTGTTGCTGAACGCCAGGCCTGGATGTCTGCAGTGCCAACTTCTGGCAAAAAAGACCATGTGAAGGGCTGGCGAAGTAACGGCAGAAACGGCGGCTGAGCAACCTGCTTTCCAGCTTGGCCCAGGCTAGGTAAAAAAAGAATTTCTTCCACAATGGGGGAAGTAATGCTCAGGTTCAAAATAATGTACATATAATAATGTGCCTATAATGTGTGGGTGCTCCACTGCTGGAGGTTTTTAAGAAAAGACTGGACAGCCAACAGTCTGAAATGCTGCTTGAGCAGGGGGGTGGACTAGAAAGCCTCCAGTGTCCCTTCCAGCTCTATTTGATTGCTAGATTGATGGATTCTGCACCAAGACTTTGAGAAGAAGCATGACTGCAGACTTCTGACACAGGTGCAGCTTAGCCAGTGGCAGTACAGAGGACGTCCTTTCAAGGTAGGAAGGTTCTCCATTATCCAGATAAATAAACTTTCCATGATGTGCCTCGATCTGAAGCTGGAGGGGTCTGCATTGCGACGGGCACATCTCTGCAACTCCCAGAGAAGCAGCTCTGGAGGCAGAAAGAGGCTTGCAAGGCTCCTTCAAGGTTCAACACTTTGGACAGCTCTTGAGATGACAGATAGAGGAGTTGTCCAGCCAACTAGGATTTCCAGAGTGCCAGGGTAGAAATGGCAATTTCTGGTTATTTATTTAAAACATTTGTATTGGGGGGGGGGTGTTTCCAACTTCAAGACCGGTGGACTTTGACTCCCAGAAGTCTACAAGTCTTAAATCTGCACAACTGTAAGAGAAGTTGCTCTGGGCGCAGAAAGAATCGAGGCACCTGGATGGTTCAGCACCTCGGGCAGCTCTGGGGTGACAGATCGAGGATCTGTCTAGACGAGCAGGATTTCCGGAGTGCCAGGGTGTTGATGGTAATTTCTGGTTATTTATTTAAAACATTTGCATTGGGGGTCCCCAACTTTAGCAACTTTAAGACCTGTGGACTTCCAGAATTCCGAGAGTCGAAGTCCGCAAGACTTAAATCTGCAATTCAGAGAAACCACCGTGGAGGCAGAAAGGGGCTTGCAAGGCTCCTGGGTGGTTCAGCACCTCGGACAGTTCTGGGATGGCTGACAGAGGGCCTGTCCAGCTGGCTAAATGGGGAATTCTAGGAGTTGAAGTCCACCTGAACGGGGAATTCTCAATCATCCAGGTTGTTGATGTCCCAAAGGTGCTGTCTTTCAAAAGGCAACGGGGCTTTCTGGTTTGGCTTGAAGACGTTTCGCTTTCCATCCAAGAAGCTTCCTCCAAATGGCCTCAAGGATTCTCAGAAAGAATACTAACGGCCAGATGACTGCAAGGAATATAAACCCTTCCTCTTCCATCGTTCAGTTGAAATGGAAGAAGCTTTTTGGATGAGAAGCGAAACGTCTTCAAAGAAAAAGCAAGAAAGCTCTTGAGAGAACACCTATGGGGTGTCCATCTGAGTGGGAGCGCCAGGGTGGAGAGGTCAAAACCAGGTTATTTATTTGAAACATGTATACCGCCACCCATCATGAAACCACTGAAGCTGGATTAGACAGGGCTGCATCAAACTGACTCACAGCGAGGCGAGCAGGATGGCAGAGGCGCTTGGGAGGTGACGCGTGTGTGTGTGTGTGCGTGTGCCTGAGAAAAACTGGCAAAGCCCAGCTGCCAAGAAGCCCCCATTGCCTGCAAGCAACGACCTCAGGTAGATTCGCTCCCTCCGCTTTGGAGTTTCCGGAGGTCGGGAAGCAGAGGGAGAAGCCAGGACGACGGTGTGTGATTCAACCCCAAAATGGATTTGGAAGAAGGGATTTCCAGTCAGGATGTCTTGCCAGGGCCAAAGGCAACCTTCCAATTTCGTACTAGCACCTTCCAGTTTCCCGAGTCACCTGGCTGGATTCAGCGGAGGTTGGAACCGGCCCATTGCCCGAAGAGGATTCCCCCAAGGCACACTGAATTGAACGGAAGGTTGGGAAAACGGGACACCCCGGAACGGTTTGTCCAAGATCTACGGGGTAGAAATATTCTGCATCAGGGAGGAAGAACTGCCTGCTTTAGGAAAGCCAGAGGTCTGTATCTGCTAAAGATCTCCCCCCTCCCCGGCATTCTTGACTGAATGAAGTTCTCCCTGTCCATATTTCCCTGGGGGAGCGGCTCTCTTCTTGCAGACCCCCCGTCCTTGCCCTCGCTTATCTCCCTCCAGCTCTGTGCTTCTCCAATGCGGGCCATGAACTCTCATGGCGACCAGCCTTTTCAAGGAAGAAGCTAGATGGGAACGCGATATGCAGGGAGTCACACACGCACACACCCCGCCATTGATGATGAAAGGAGATGCAAAAATTCCTCGATCGGGAGAAAATGTCATGGCGGAAAGGATGTCAAGGACTCCCATCACTGACGGGGGAAGAGGGGAGACTTAGAGAAGGAGAAAAAGGGGGGGTGGGGGTGGAAAAAGGAGAATAGGGGCCTTTTCATTTCAGCTACAGAAGTGAATGGAGGACTCTATGGAGCACTTTCTCTCGACCTTGTGAACTTTAAGATGGGAGACTTCAACTCCCAGAAGTCTCCCTGGGCACTGAAGTCTCTCTGAATGGGGAATTCTGGGAACTGAAGTTCACCTGAATGGGGAATTCGGGGAGTTGAAGTCCGTCCATCTTAAAAGTTGACAAGGTTGAGAAAGAAAGCTGCAGAGGGCCAGTGAGATGGGCTTGAAGCGAAAACCCATTACATAAAAAAAGCCAGTCGTTAAGTTAGTAACCCGGTTGTTAAGTGAATCTGGCTTCCCCATATTGGCTTTACTTGCCAGAAGATCACCAAAGGGGAATCACATGACCTCAGGACGACGCAACCACCATAAATGCGAGTCAGTTGCCAAGCGTCCAAATTTTGACCATGTGGCTATGAGGAGGCTGCAATGGTCGTGAATGTGAAAGACGGCCATCCGTCTCTTTTTTTCAGTGCTGTCGTAACTTTGAATGGTCACTAAATGAACTGTGGTCAAGCTGAGATCTCCCTGCGCAGGAGCTGTGTTTTTGCACCACATGGGCCAAGTGTGCAATCAGTTGATGTGGGTCTCAGAAGGGGGGTTTCCTTGGGGGGGGGGTAGCAGTTGACAGACATTCTTAAGGGCGCTAGGAGAAAAAGCCGCAGGTGGGAAGCGAAAGCTGGGAAGATTTCCTGACCGGAAGAGAAACGGAAACCGTCTGCTTAAAACAGAAGGATTTCTCCTCAAAGTGTGCACCTGTCCGTGGCAGCTTCATGGCCTTCCACAAAGGGGTGGGGTGGCAGGTTGGACTAGATGGTCTCTAAGACCCCATCCTACTAATCCGTTCTGTGACTTCGAGCGAGAAGCTCAACTGAGATGGGTAACTTTTTTGGGTGGGTGGGTGGACGGGAAATGTCCCCCTTTTAGCCACGTGCCCCATCCCGGTGGGCTAGGCTGAGCTTTTCCGAAGGAAAGCAGAGCCCGCTCTTCTAGACCGTCATCCCTGTTCAGCCCCAAGGCCGAATCCTGAGTGATGCTATTTGCTGAACTGACGGGAAGGGGCGAAATTTTTTTTTAAATAAATCCTGACCCCCTACAGATGGGGGAGGGTATTCTAGATCGAAACTCGGGGGCAGGGGTGGGATTCAAAAATCCCAGCAACCGGTTCGCTGCCCAGTAGCTGGGTGGGCGTGGCCATGGTGGGCGTGGCCTGCCGGAACTTCTGGGAGGGGCATTTTTCACCTTGCCCAGAGTCCGGAGGCTTCCCTTGGGCCTCTGGGAGGGGGGAAACCGCTTCCCCTGGGGAACAGAGGAAGCCGGAAACAGGCCCCATTCCCAGACTTCCGGAAGGCCCAATTTTTGCCCTCCCAGAGCCTCTGTGTGGATCCTGCACTTACCTACACCCCAAATGGTCCCCATGGAGACTCCTGGGAGGGGCGGGGTGGGCGTGGCCAGCTGGTCGGTCAGTTCAACTACCCAGTTGTCAATTTAACATCCAGTTCGTGCGAACCGTTCCGAACCAGCTGAATACCACCCCTGCTTGAGGAGCAGGGAAAGACTTTGTGTGCCATTTCCAGCATCTCCAGAGAAGTGGGACCGTTTAAAGAAAGACCTTTCTTGCCGGAGTTGCTTCGGAAGGGGATGAGACTGGCTCAAGACCCCCAACCCTCTGCCCCTCTGAAAGACCCCCACATCCTTAAGGCTCTCCTTCCAACTCACCCGCCCTCCTTCCGATTCTGACCATCCTTCCTTGGCTTGCAACCAAGTTGAGTGAGTGAGCCTCAGAGCTTCTGGAAAGCCACAGGGGATGCCACCAAGAATGCCAGGGCAGCTGCCTGCTACGCCCTATTGCCCTCCCCCCTCCCACCTGTGGCAGAAAGGAAGAGAGGGCCGGGTGGTTCCAACCTCCGCTGTTTTGGGGGGGGGGGCGAGAGAGAGAGAGAGAGAGAGAGAGAGAGAAGGGGGTGACGGCAGCCACCGCTTTGTGGTCCCCTACCTGCCGGGTATCGTTCGTTGATGGGCCAGTTGTCCACCTGCAGCGTTGCGTTGCCGCCGCTCCGGGTGAAACGCACCACGTGGTACTTGCCATCGTTCACCATGGCATTGCTCTCCTCGATCGTGATGTCGTCCGTGCCCACGTTGAAAATGACGCCCACAGTCCCCTGGTCCTGCAGAGAGTGAAGGGTGGTGGGAAGGAAGAAGGGGCAAAGAGAAAGGGGGAAAGGAAATTGGGTCAGGGGTCTCAGAAAGAAGGGAAATGTCCAGCCGGATTGCAGAAATTCTGGCATTTGCCCCCACAAAATAAAGGAATCCTCTAATATTACGACCAGCTTTGTGGGGTCTCCAGCAGTCATCACCTGAATATCAATTTATTCCATTTTAGAAGCTGCTTCTTCTCCAAGAGCTCAAGGGTGTGAATAGAATAGAATAGAATAGAATAGAATAGAATAGAATAGGAATTTGAATAGAATAGAATAGAACAGAATAGAATAGAATAGGAATTTGAATACAATAGAATAGGAATTAAAATAGAATGGAATAGAATAGGAATTAGAATAGGAATAAGAATAACGAACAGAATAGAATAGAACAGAACAGAACAGATCTCTATTGGCTGAGAGTAAAATAAAGAATAAATATAGAGTAAAATTGAATAGAATATAGAATAAAATATAGAACAGGACAGAATAGAATTCTTTATTGGCCAAGTGTGATCAGACACTTGTAAGGAATTTGTCTCCCGTGCATAAGTTCACGTAAACATCAAGTAAGACTTCACAGGTCATAAATCATAGTTACGAGCATTAAACATAAGTTACAAACAACCATTGATAAATCGTTAAGAAACCAAATAGGAGCAGATAGTAGGAAGGAAGAGAAATCAGACAATGCTGTGGGACTTAGTTGTTCAGCAGAGTGATGGCATGTCTGGTTGTTTTGGCGTGCAATGCCCTGCAGCGCCATCCCGAGGGGAGGAGTTGAAACAGTTCACGTCCAGGATGTGAGGGGTCTGCAGATATTTTCTCAGCCCCCTTTCTGGCTCCTGTGGTATTCAGGTTGTCTGTCCCTCTCCTGTTTGGTTGCTGTGCCAAACCAGAGAGTTATTGACATCCATATATAAAAGCAAAATACCACCCACGCATCATCACAACATCTCCAGAATCGTAAAGCCTACAAACTTGAAGTTTGGCACGTAGGTCCCTCTTGGCTTCTAGGTGCTCACTAAGAAAGGATTTTTCGAAATGACCATCAGAGCATTAGTATTTCTTTTATTATTTATTATTATTAATACGCTCTGATGCTAAGGACTCCCACTCCCCACCTGAAAAGAAACCTCTTCCAAATGCAAAACACAAGCAGAGGAGTTTCAGTTTCAGTTTAACAGCAGCAGGCAGCTTTAGTACAGAACAGTTGAGCTAAACCACGCCCAGGCTCCTTGCTGTCTCCTTGCTCACACAGCAAATACTGTTTCTGTTTCCAAACAGCCCTCAACTCTCTCACACACTGACAGGATGCTAGCCAGATGACTACCGATGGATGCTGGTAGGCAGAGGCAGAATTTTCCCCCTTATTTTCCTCCCCCAAAACTAAGCCCGATCACATAGTTTCATAGCAAAGCATGAGTATCGAGCTTATACATATATATCAGCTCCTGGGGTGATCTGAGCTTTCTTGGGAAGCAGGAAGAACATCCTTTGTTGGACCTTTTTAGTGTGTGTGTGTGTGTGTGTGTGTGTGTGTGTTACAGCAATGTACCCCTCACCTACTCCACAACAACAACCCTGGTAAATGTACACTGGTCTGAGAAAGAGGCAAAAATTGGTCCAAAGTCATATTGTGAATTTCTACAGCAACAAATGGGGTTGAATCCAGATTTTTCTAACTCTTTGTCCAGCTTTTAAAACTATCACAGGTAGTCCTCAACTTACAGGCACAATTGAGCCCAGAATTTCCATTGCTAAGCAAGGCAGTCGTTAAGTGAGTTCTGCCCCATTTTGCAACCTTTTCGCCATAGTTGTGAAACAAATTACCATAGCGAATCATGTGGTCATTAAGTGAATCCGGCTTGCCCCACTGATTTTCTTGTTGAAAGCCAGCTGGGAAGCTTACAAAAGGAGATCACGTGATCCTGGGACACTGCAACAGTCTTAAGTACATGCCAGTTGCCAAGTGTCTGAGTTTTGATCATGTGACCATGGGAATGATATGATGTTTTTAAATGTGAAAACCGGTCACAAATCAATTTTTCAGTGCTGTTGTTACTTTAAACCATCAATAAATGAATGGCTGCAGGTCAAGGACAACCTGTAATTAAAAAAAATCTTTACTTTTTTCTCTAAAAAAATAATCTTTTTTCTTTTTAAAAAAAATTAAAAGTAAAACTAAAAACACAAACACACAGGAGGGGAAAAATATTAACCTTATAACATGTTGTGCTGTTAATTAGTCAGACTTTCATTCTGCATGAAGCCAAAGAAGTATTATTAAGCATTTAGATTTCCATCTTTTCTCTAGATATTAGCCAGATATCACCCCCATCTTCTTGATATCTGTTGAACTGACAGTGGCCCAAATTTGTGGGTTTAATGGCGGGAGTCTTCCCCACCAAATAATCATCTTTCCTGTTGAAAGATAATTTCAACAGCTTCTTTGGCAGCTGGAAATGGGGAAAGCTGGTCTGAATCAGCCTGGTGCACTGGGAATAACTGGGATGCGGCCTAGGCCAGGATATTAAAAGGATAAAAAACAAACCAGCTTTGGAATCTTTGGTAAGGGGGTATCTGATAGCGCCGAAACAAAGCCCACTCGCCCGAAACTAGGATTCTATCTCCCAACATAGAGGAGGTGAATTTAGGGCTACCAATCTTGATCAAAATTGATCAGAATAGAGCTGGAAGGGACCTTGGAGGTCTTCTAGTCCAGCCCCCTGCTCAAGCAGGAGACACTATACCATTTCAGATAGGTGGTTGTCCAATATTTTCTTAAAAGTGTTGGAATATCCACAACTTCTGGTGGCAAGTTGTTCCTCTGGTTAATTGTCCTCACCGTTAGGACATATCTCCTTAATTCCAGGTTGCTTCTCTCCTGGATGAGTTTCCATCCCTTGTAATGGAAGCTGCTTTTATTCCTAGCCCAACAATCCTGCCAATTTCTAACTGGAATACAGGTAGCCCTCGATTTACAACAGACTCATTTAGTGACCGTTCAAAGTTGCAACGGCACCGAAAAAGGGATTTGTGATCGTTTTTTCACACACTCGACTGCTGCAGCATCCCCGTGCTCACACGCACACACACACACACACCAGCACAACACCACAACCGGCAACCTGCGCAGGGCTTGATAAACCCAGCTCATGATCTCATCCGTAAGCAGCTCCGGCAATTAAAACGGGGGCCAGCGGAATCTCCCTGGGTGGGGGCGTATTTCGAAGGATTAAAGCGCTTGTTCTTAAACGGGTCCTTTTCTTGGCTGGACTTCAAAAGGCCGGGATGAAACCTCTTGACGGAGCCAGAGCTGCAGGAAGCAGCCGAAGTCCGAGACTCCGCGTCGAAAACGAAGACGGCCGGCTTCTCGCATTTCCACACGGGCCCCAAATATTGCGGGGGGGGGGGGGGGAGACCCTCCTTGGTCTGAAGGAAAAGGGATGGGAAGGGCGGCAGCAGGAGCTACTCGTGTTCCGCCAATCGGAGCTCGCCAAGGTGTTTTGGGAACGCTGCGGTGCGGTGGGCAACTCACCTACTTTCTCAGGGGGGGCGGCCTTGAGCCAGCAGTCTTCACATCCTGTCAGGGCCTCCTCCCCATCTCCTGCCATGCCCACACAACCATATTGCCCATTTGTCCACCTCCCTCTTCCCCCTTCAGCCTTTGATGGCAGGGAGTGGAAGGACCTAAGAAACTGATCCAGGAGAGAAGCAACCTGGAATTAAGGCGAAACTTCCTAACAGTGAGGAAGGTTAACCAGTGGAACAACTTGCCACCAGATGTATTAGAAGAATTAGAATAACGGAGTTGGAAGGGACCTTGGAGGTCTTCTAGTCCTGCCCCTTGCTCAGGCAGGATACCCTATACTATTTCAGACAGGTGACTATGTAATCTCTTCTTTAAAACCTCCAGTGCTGGAGCATTTACAACTTCTGGAGGCAAGTTGTTCCACTGATTAATTATTCTCACTGCGAGGAAGTTTCTCCTTAGTTCTAGGTTGCTTCTCTCCTTGATTAGTTTCCACCCATGGCTTCTTGTCCTGCCCTCGGGTGCTTTGGGGAATAGCTTGACCCCTTCCTCCTCTCTGGGGCAGCCCCTCAGAGATTGGAAGGCTGCTCTCGTGTCTCCCCTGGTCCTTCTCTTCTCTAGACTAGCCAGGCCCAGTTCCTGCAACCATTCATCGCATGTTTTAGCCTCCAGCCCCCTAATCCTCTTTGTTGCTCTTCTCTGCACTCTTTCTAGGGAGCCAACATCTTTTTTACACCACAGCAACCAAAACTGGATGCCATATTCCAAGTGTGGCCTTACCGTGGCATTATCAAGTGGTATTAACACTTCACGTGATCTTGATTCAGTCCCTCAGTTTAAGACTTTCAGTTGTGGATGCTTCATCGTTGGAGGTTTCTAAGAAGAGACTGGACAGTCGCTTGTCTGAAATAGTAGAGTATTCTCCTGCTTGAGCAGGGGGTTGGACTAGAAGACCTCCAAGGTCCCTTCCAGGCTCATTCATTCTATCCAGCCTGATACCCAGCTAAGTGCGACTAAGAAGAATATTTCTGCCACCCAAAAGCAAGCCGCCTCCCTTTCTCTGCTAGCATGTGGCTCTCTGCCCTCTCCCGTTCCCGAAGCACCTAGAGCCCTCTTTAAAGCGGGAAAGGATCCCAGTGGAATTCTTTAAGGAAGGCTGCTTCACGCTGGAGGTGGACCGGAACGTCAAGAGATCCTAGCAAAAGCTGGCAAGATCCAGGAAAGGATTCCACTTCCTGCCCAGTCTTGGGGGCAGGGGGAGGAGGAGGAGGAGGAGGAGGGGGGGGGCTCCACCACATCACTTGCAGCAGCGGCTCCACGTTAATCCACATCCCGGTGCAGCTGCTGACCGACACTGCGCCAACTTCATTCCATTTGCAACTGAGTGGTAATTAATCCCTCCGTGCAGCTGGCTGGCAAGCGGAGAGGGGGCACT